CAGAGCCTCCAGGGGAGGCTGAACAGCCCTGGGGAGGGCAGAGTCGGCCCTGGTAAAATGCACAGTGCGGGTCCATCTCGTCCGTGCCACAGTGTCGCCGCGGTCACAGCAGCGGACCACTTACTTCTCACATCATCCTGGCAGAGCCGCGCTGACCACAGGCTGTGCGGCCATCCCCAGATCACATGATTCTGTAGGAAGCCTCCCACGGACTCCGCTCCATTGGCTGTTCCCTAGCAACACGCCCACCACCCTGTCCAGGAGCCCAGAGATGGCCCGACAGCAGCTCAGTGCAGACAGAAAAATCTGCCGCCTGGCATCTCAAGAGGGGCCCAGCAACCTTCTGCAAAGGTGGCTCAGTCCTCTCACTTCCTGGCAGAGCGCTGCAGCACTGTCAGAGCAATGCCAGGGCTCCTCCTTCCTGAATGCCAGTGTCTCTGATGGAGGCTGCTCTGCCTGTCCCATCCCCGAGAGCAGACAACGGGGCAGCAGAGCCCCAGGTGGCCTGGTGTGCTTGTGTGTGTGGTGTGTGCCATACAGAGTTGCCACAGTGTACGATAGTGTCCTGAAATACCACACCAGCCACATCCACAGAGCAAACGCTTCCATCTATTAATGCGGCGTGTGTTAGAGGTGGTGTGGAGATCAGCCAGCAAGGCGGTCATGGTTATTTCCTCCAGGGTCACCACCCAAGAGCAAAGGTGTGATTCAGTGAGGCCAACAGAGGGCAAAGCTAGTGTGGTAATCACAACAAAACAGTCCTCACTGGCATCTGTAGGCTTGGGGTGCAGGCGTGTGTACGTCGGCCAGGCGGCTGTGACTGGACTGTGTATCCTCATCAATATCACAGACTATTACCAGCTGCTCTTCTGACACTCCGAGTGCCTGAGACAGATCCCCCTTACCCCACCGCATCCCAAAATCCATTTCAGTCTCTCAATCCACCTTTTTTTTTTTTTTTCTGGCCTGATAAAAATCCACCAGGAAAGCCAAGCTAAAGTGGCGAAGTGTGCAGTACCTAGAGGCTCTCTCTGCTGTGTGGCTGGTTCCTCCTGATTGAAATACTTCCTCACGGAGGGAGGGAAGCTAGAGAGAAACTTCCAGAAGGTGTGAGTGCTCCCCTCAAGGCTGTCCAGGCAGTGGGCGACTGCTAGCAGGAGACTGCTCAGTGAAATCACCTGAGAGCTCCTCCAGAATCCAGTTGTTCAAGCTGGGGTGGGGTTTTTGGTGATTGGTCGCTCCCTCAAGGAATCCCTCACCCATACTCACCCAAGCAAGCAACTCCAATAAACTCATTGCTTGACCAGGGGTTTTGGTTATTGCAAATTTCTGGTGGTCTCCATCCTTTTAGATTATATCCACAATTTTTTTTTTTCATCTGAGCCACCCAAGGAAGGTGGAAAGACTCCTGTTTTCTACCAGATCCACTTGCCAATCACTTCCGTCCTCCCGAGGGTGAGATGTTCCCCTTCCTCCAAAGGCGGTAGCTCCTCTCTCCCTCCTTCCTGCACCTCACACGCTCCCATTCTCTTCTACCCCCTTCTGCTCTGTAACACACACTAACTTCCTCTCTGTTGTATTCTATCACATCCTAAGATTTGTGTTTATGTTTTTGGCGTGAAGATGTGTGTGTGTGTGTGTGTGTGTGTGTGTGTGTGTGTGTGAAAGCAGAAGGGTGTCTTTATTACTCTCTACCTTTCTTGGTTTTTTGCTTCTTCTTTTTTTTTTTTTTAATTTCTGAGTCAGGGTTTCTCTGTGTAGCCCTGGCTGTCCTGGAAATCAGAGATTTACCTGCCTCTGCCTCCCAAGTGCTGGGATTAGAGGCTTGCACCACCACGGCCTGGCTGACTCTCTACCTTTCTTATTTTATTTTATGTGTATTGAGGTAACCTACATGTGTGAGCCTAGTGTTGGAGGAATCCAGAAGTGGACATCAACTTCTCTGGAACCGCAGGCGGCTGTGAGCCACCCTGTGGTGCTGGTACTCTACCTGTGTCCTCGGGAAGAGCAGCCAGTGCCCTCAATCCCTGAGCCACCTCTCCAGCTCCCCACCTTAATTTTTGAGACAGGGTCTTTCACTGAAAACAGCGTTTATTAATCGGATAGGATTAGCTTCGGGGATCTTCCGGTCTCCTTGTCCCAGGACTAGGATTTCAGTGCACACTCCCACACCTGGCTGTGATTGTGGGTTCTGGGGGATCTGACCTCCAGTTGTGCTTGTGTGTCAGCCATTTCACTAACTGGACCATCTCCCTAGATCCTCTTTGTAATACAGCCTATCTTTTAAAAATTCCATTCTATCCCCTGGAAGTCTGAGGATGTTCCATTCTATCCTCTGGAAAGAACATTTTTTTTTTTTTTTTTTTTTTTTTTTTTTTTGTCTCTGATTCCATTGGCAGCACTGTCCTATGATCCCTGGTGATGAACAACCACTGCCTGCAGGGAGAGGCTCTCTGAGGCAGGGTTGTGTGTGGCATGAACGTAGATGTGGGCCCTGGCACACTGTGTGGCCCGGGTGAGCCTCGGCTTCCATCTGTGTAAAATGGATGTAATCTGCGTGCACAATGGATGCACATTTCCTCAAGGCTGTGATGGTGCTCATCGCTGAACCCTCAGATGGGTCCCCCGGAAACCTGTCCTTCCACGGCATCCTTCAAGCTGGGCTTTTAAGACTTATATGCTACGATTTCTGATTAGTTTGTTTTCCGGACAGGGTATCACCATGTAGCCCAGGCTGCCCTAGTAGAGCCCGTGATTGTCCAGCCTCAACCACCCAACTGCTGGGATTATAAGCATGGACTGCCTACCCAATCTCCTACCCATCCTTTTCTGCATCTCGTCTAGAGAATTCGAAATCTCCCCATTTCAGCCTCTGCACTGGGTGTCTCCACGGTCAAGACGCCCAACCCCAGGCTGACCGTTCCATGCACTTGTCCACCCCAGCTTTCCACTCCACCTGGTTGGACTCTTCATCCCTTGACCTAGGTGGATTCTCCAGGCAGGAACTTCAGGCTTTGCCCTGTGCTCCTCTCAGTGGGAGATGCCAGGCCGAGGGTGCCAGCTGTTCGGGCAGGGTGCTTCTGTGCATGGTTGTGGTGTCCCAATCCATTTCTCTCATTAGAAATGCAGTCCAGTAAACTAAATGAGTTACAAACAAAGGTGTTTACCTTGGCTCCTTGGTCTGGTATGGTTGAGAGACCGGAAGGCGTGATGATGGGCTTCTCGCTAGCAGAGCCTGGAGTGGCTCAGGGCTTCACACAGTGAGAGGCTGGGGACATGTATGCCTGTGTGCACACACATGAGCGAGTGTGTGTGCACACAGGCACGCACACACGTGTGTACTTTGGCCTCTCTCCTTTTGTGTGGGCACGTGTGTGCAGCTGCATGTTTGTGCTGGTGTGCTTGTGTGAGGGGGAATGAAGACTCCTTCCTCAGGTGACAGCCATACTTTTTAAAGAGAACTTTTCATAGACTGCAGGGTTGGGAGGCATGTACGTTACAGCGTGCGTGTGGAAATCAGAGGACAACGTCATGAGTCTCTCTTTCCACCACATGGGTCCCGGGGATTGAATTTAGGTCATCAAGGCTGGCAGCAATCTTTCTGGCCCCATCCTGTGTTTTTTAGAGATAGGGTTTCTTCTTGGCTTAGAACTTGCTGCGTGGATTGGGCTGGCTGGCAGCAGCACCCCAGGAACCTGCCTGTCTCTGCCTAGGCAACATTGGCTTGCCAGCCCCTGCTTGGTTATTATTATTATTATTATTATTATTATTATTATTATTAATTATTTTTAATGTGAGGTTTGAGGATTGAATTCATTTCCCCACACTTGCTAGGCAAGTGCTTACGTGGCTGGGCTATTGCCTCAGCCTGCCCTCTTCCTACAAAGCCCCCCTCTTCAACCACTGAGGCTCCGCTCTGTTGGCTAAATCCCACCACACCCCAAATGCCCTTCTGCTAAACGACACAGATTAAGTTTCCGCCCTCTGACTTCAGCATGAGATTCAGAGCACAGCGCAGACGAAGAACATGGCATCTAGACTTCTCTACCCAGCTGGCCCTTTTCTCACCAGCGCCAGTTTGTTGCGTGTTGGTAACCCAGGTGACTGGGCTTTGGAGTATGGTACCTAAAGTAAGCAAAGCCAGGCTCCCTGGCAGGAACAAAGGGTTCTCCTGGGCTCAGCGTGAGCTTGGTGAGCCTCGCTCTCCCGCAGGGCAGGGGCTGCGGAACTCCCTCGGATGCTCTTGGGCGCTCTTAACTCATTTTCGTTTCTCCTGCATACCAAAATATTCACACCGTTTTCCAGCTAACTGCAGCTTTCACTGTGCCACGTTACATTCTTGGAATGTTAACACCTAACATCAACCAGTATAATTTTTGTATGTAAATTCACACCGCCATTCATATTTTTTTGTTCCCTATGTTGATCCCACTGCATTATTTCCTCATAATGGAATGCAAAGTCTCCTGTTGGCTAACGGGTTAATGATGTAGCTTTGGGGTTCCCCTCTCCCCCTCGGGAGACTTAGCGGGCACAGGTGCTCTTTATTCCTCCAGGGGGAAGAGGCCAGCCTTCGACTGTGTCTTCTGTGTGCATTCATAATAAAAGCTGGTACATTCATGGCTGCTTCATGATGTAGAGGAACCAGTGAATGAAAGTTTGGGTAGAGCTCACCTCTAAGAGAGTGGTCCTGCGGCACCCCGGCCTGACCCGAGCGTCTCCAACGTCTTTATAAAGCTCATTCCCCCGTCTCTCTACGCCGGCTAGTCCCTTTCATCCAGCATTTTTTGGTAATCAATCTGGGTGCTGTTATTTTTTTCCCTTTCTTTCTCTTTTTTTTTTTCCCCACACTGCTGTTGGATAAAAGATCCCGCCCTTGATTGAAATGGAATCTTCCACTATTGAGCGAGCCTTTGTTGAATGAGTCATCGGCGCAGCCGCTCATTGGCTGAGGCCGCCTGGGCCCAGGGGATTGCCTGGCAGTGGCTGCAAGGCCCGGCTCCATTCACAGAAACGCTGGCTCGCTCGCCGGCCCTTTCATTCACACAAACGGCATCTCATTCACATTCTATCGGTTTTTGTCTGCTTCTAATGAAGACCACGGCCTGGGAATGGTGGGGCTGACTCGCTTCACACTGGAGGGGGACTCTAATCACCACCGAAACCGCCTGTGGGCTGCGCATCTGCTGTTGCTATGCAAGCTAGGGGAAGGGAGAAGAGAGAGTGCGGGGTGGCTGCTGGGCTAGGGCTGCGGCGCGGCTGGAGAGCGGAGGGGACGCGCTTGCTGAGCCGGGGAGGGCTCGGCTGCTCTGCGCCTCCTCGTCCCCTGGAGCCGGCCTCACCCGCCCTCCCGCCATGGGTGGTTCTCCCTAAACTCCATTTCCCGGGGCTCCCCGAAAGCCTGGGAACCTCGCTGGCACCCGTGATCAGCCCCCCCGGCGGGCGCGAGAAGACTCAGGGTGACCTGCTAGTGTGCTAGAAGCCAAAGGCATCCGCTTGCACAGAAGTTACCGGGGAAACTTTGACAGCGATTGACGTCTTCCCCTGCGGTGCCACCTGGCAGAGGCGGCCGAGGAAGGGGTCAGTGGGTCCCAGAGTCTCGCACAGACCTTCGGGGAGGCTGTCGACGTCCTATCCGCCTCAGCGCCAGGAGGAAGGCCTGTGTGTGTCCCTGCAAGCCTGAGCCCGGCTCCCAAGGATGAGGCCGCTCTTGCTGTGGATTTGATGGGCAGTTAGAGCATTTCCCCCCCTTCCTGACTGCAGGGCTGCACCGAAGGGGCGTTGAAATGGATGGATAGTGCTACCAAGGCTTGCTTCCAGGGCTTAAACACATTCAGTTGGAATGAAGCTCCAAACGCAGCCCTCTTTTTTTCCGCTTTTGGCATGGATTTCTGGAGCCTGTTGCCGCTCGTCAGAGAAGCACCATTCTTTTTTGGAAGTAGATTTTTCAACTTAACCCTGGCTGGTAAAGGCTGCTGGTTTTTGTAAATTACCGGGGAAGACCCTTTGAGCTGCACGGAGAAGAAGTTCAGGTGCAGATTTGGTTTTTTTTTTTTTTTTTTTTTTTTTTTTCGTGTATTATTCGAGGAACTGCACCGCCACAGGCACATGTCATGGCTGCTCTGTTGATCTGAGCAAGAAAAGCAAGCCACAGGAAACTGACAGTTTTATTTTATTTTATTTTAAATATTCATCTGCTGAAGAAGGTTCCCCTCTCTTTCCCTTCCTACTTAAAAATTCTTGCTACTTTCCAAATCAGGATTCACCAGGATTCGCCTGAAGACTTCTTAAAAAGCCTTCGTCACATTTTAACGCAGCCAGACACTTCTGGGGCTCACCCACATGAGCCGAGCAAGGGAAGAACAAACCTCAGCATGACATGATGGGTTTCGGGAAAGTTCAAGAGATCATTTGAAGGAATTGGATTTACCTTCGGCACAGACGCGGGACGGGGCGGGGGGTAGGTGAAAAGGCGAAGACTGGAAGGAAATATCTGCGAAGGTAGAAAAAGGAAATTTGAGAACTGATTGGCTGTGGTTGCTGTCAGCGGGTGGATGTCGTTTTCTTCTCTCTCTCTCTCTTTTTGCTACAGGAAGTGATTTGCCGAGCTCACCGAGCCTTTGTTGAGAAGGGTCTCTTCCAAGTGAGTCACGCTTTCGCCGGGAGCAGCTCGGCGCGGCCGGGCGCCCGCTCCACCCGCGGCAACTATGACTTTGGCCAGGCGAGCGGTCCAGCCCGACCCGCGGTCTCCCAGGCCCGCGCCGCGCGGCGGCCGCCCCGCTGCTTTGTAACGGTGCGAGGGTTCGCTCGTCGGCCTCGGCCGTCCCTCCCCGGAAAGGCTGTCCCGGGACCCCGGCTCCTCGTCCCGCTCCGGGGGCCCCGCGGTTCCGTGTGCTATGCGCGGCAGTCCGCGCCGGGGCCGGCACCAGCAGCGCCCGGGCGGATGCGGCGAGCCCACGGAGGGGCATGCTTCCGCGCACCAAGTACAACCGCTTCAGGAATGACTCGGTGACATCGGTCGATGACCTTCTCCACAGCCTGTCGGTGAGCGGCGGCGGCGGCAAGGTCTCGGCGGAGCCCGCGGCCACCCCCTACCTGGTGTCGGGCGAGGCGCTGCGCAAGGCGCCGGACGATGGGCCCGGCAGCCTGGGCCACCTGCTCCACAAGGTGTCCCACCTGAAACTCTCCAGCTCCGGCCTGCGCGGCCTGTCGTCGGCCGCCCGGGAGCGGGCGGGAGCGCGGCTCACCGGTAGCTGCAGCGCGCCCAGCCTGGCGGCCCCGGACGGTGGCACCGCGACGCCCGGGTCCCGGGCCCCGGCCGCCAGCATGAGTGCCACCAGGAAGAGCCGGGCCGGCGACGAGCCGCTGCCCAGGCCCCCACGGGGCGCGCCGCACGCCAGCGACCAAGTGCTGGGGCCGGGAGTCACCTATGTGGTCAAGGTGGGTCACCGGAACGGGACGCACAGTTGGGCGGGAGGGGGGTCTTGGGGCTCGGGGGCGGCTGGGGACAGGTGTCCTTCTCCGAAGCCCCAGGGTGAGGAGAACCAGACGACAGTTGGATGTGAGGAAATGCGCCCTCCTTAGCCGTCCTCTTGCTTGACAGGGCAAGGAGTGAACTCCAAACGCGCCTTTAGCAGATAGGTGGGGGAAAAGATCGAACTGTCTGGTCACCTCGCTGGGGCCTGCTTTCCCCAGGGGACTGTTGTTGAGGCGGGCTTAGGCCACTTGGCCTCGTCAGATGTCCTGCCAGTGTTCCTTTCTCTCCAGACGTCCAACCCCGAGATCAGGTCTGGCCTACCGGAGGTCCACTTGTCAGACCTGGTAGCCAGCCCTCTCCCAGGATGAGCGGTGTGGGTGTGCCTAGTGCCACAACTTCTGTGTCCTCCCCTGGTGGGGGTGGGGGCGGGGAGGCGGGGGTGAGGTGGGGTTGGCCGGGTGGGGAGTGAGATTGTTCCTCTCCAGAGCAACAAAGGCCAGCATCTGGAGGGCAGGGCAAGTGCTGCCTTGCTTCCTATAGGATGGGTTCTGGCGTCTTACCCAGAAAGATTTTCTTCGGCCCCGAGCTGTTTTGGGTTCTGGCGGTGGAGGCAGTCTTTGGGACTGTTTTCAGGGTGATAGTGAGTAGGTTTCCCTATTAATGGACTAAGAGGGAATAAGGTTGTGGCTCTTGGACTCACAGGCTGGAAAGGAGTTTTTCTTGGAACACAAAGAACAATAATAATTCAAAACACAATCATGTAATTGGTAGAACCCCTGCAGCTCACAAGCATGCCGTGGTGTTGAGCATACGCAGGACAGCTGAGTTCCTCTGCCAAATGCTGGTTTTCCCGAGCCAGGCCAGCTGCAGCAGGGCTTTGCCCGGATGAGGGCTGGGAGAGTCCGGGGCTCATTTCAGTCCTGCTACCCCAGGCATCGCTGTTTTGTTAAGACAGAAGCTCTTCTCAGCCACCTGTGTTATCAAACCTGTAGGACAGATTAACCATAAGCACTAGTTGCAGAGCAGTCTAAGCTCGGGTAGATGCAGCATCTTGGTAGTTTGGAACCAGATCCCCAAAGGAATGCTTGCTATCTTTGCCTGTATAAAACACACATGAAGCATGTGGCCACTGCAGCTCCGCTCCTTAGTGGGCGTTTTAATTCATCTTCTCGGCTACTGAACACGGGTCGTCATATTCTATCACTATATTTTCACAACTGGGACACAGATCAGCATAACACACACACATTTGGTTGAGTTTATCTTAGCAAAGGATGAACATTGCTTGTTTAAATTACATGTTCATGGGCCAAAGAGCAGAACCAAGCAACCAAGCGAACAAAAACCAACCCCAACAACCTCAGGGTTAAACCGTGGCTGGAATATAGTCATTACCTCTGCTAGGCTCGGAATTGCATCTTATGCTTCTTTTTGTTGAGCATTTAAAATAGGCAAATAGAGCTGGGTGACGCTGTTGGCGTGTGAGAGGCAGAACACAGAGCATTGCTTTCAAAATGAGGGGCAGTCCTCAAACTCGGGCTGTAAAAGGACCACGTCGCTTGGGTCAGTGACTCTGGAACATTAATATTCAGCCAGGCAAATGAAAATGGCATTTTAGAAGGAAAACAACCACTTTAACGAAGGCTTTGCCCCTGTCAGATGGGGCCAAGTGATTAACGGGAAGCTACCTAGCCTGCTTAGCCTGGGCTCTTTCTCTGGGGACGGTCTTGAGTTATCCCAGTGTCAGCAGCCGAACATCCAGGGGCCAGAAAGCTGCTTGGGTGTCCTCAGAGACTACCTGTGCCCCCAGGTAGAGGGTGCAGCAGTGCCCCAGGGGCACTGGCACATAGAGGTGCAAAAATGGCACCAATCGCTAGCGACCTGCACTGTCCTCTGTTGGCCCCATCATCTGTCAGCCGCTGTGAATGATGGTGCCCTGTGAACATAAACCCAGCAAGGGTGCTCCCTGCATCCTCGGAGAAGTTTGGGGTCACACAGAAAGGGAGTGCGACAGCAAAGGACAGTTGCGGTCCTAGTATGCGTGCCCCCTTCAGTGGATCACATGACCTTCCATTGGCACATGTGAGACGACTTCCCACACTGTCATGACGAGTTCAAGACTGACTTGTTTCATTGAAAAACTACAAAACTAAAAGCCTCTTAACTTAGTGTTTATCTGCTCGTGTTACTGATGAATGAAGGGTTCTGGAACCTTCAAGCCTGCAACCTGAGCCGGGTGCACTGGAGCACTCAGGAGGCAGAGGCAGGTAGATTGCTGTGAGTTCAAGGCCAGCCTGTCTACAGAGTTAGTCTAGAACAGCCAAGGCTACAAAGAGAAACCCTGTTTAAAAAAAAAAGCCCAAAACAAACAAACAAACAAACAAACAAACAAGCTTGCATCTTATAACTGGAACTCAGTTCTAAAATCTGAAGGTTTAGAGTTTGTGAAAGGGCTCAATTCCTTTCGACATACCTCTGTTTTCTAAGTTAAAGAAAGCTCAGATGTTTTCTAGATCTCTAGGAAATTCCTGCACTGGGTCATAACAAACCATCTACAGGAAGTTCCTGCTGGCAGGTGGTCACCGGCATTGCATTCTCGAGTAACAACTCCCGGACACTGCACGTCCATATACTTTAGAGGTGCACTGTAGAGAGTGAGGCCTAATGGGTTTTGGTCATCTGCAAAACATTAAACCATTTCTTCAGCAGCTGCTAATATTTCCAGTGAAGAACGAAAAACTGAAAACTGAAAAAATCCTCAACCTGGCAAGATTCCAAGCTCACAGCACATTTAACCGATATGTTCAGCCACCCTTGAGCCTGATGTTAGTTTAACATTTTTTTTTTCTTAAAAAAGTTGAATACACACACACACACACACACACACACACACACACACACACACACCCTCCAGGGTCTTAGTATCCCAGGCTGGCTTTGAACTTACTATATAATCAGTGTTGACCTTCAACATTCGCTCCTCTCATTTTGGCCTCAGTGTGGAGATTGCTGGTGTGCACAGCCCTGCCTGGTCCATGGAGATCCCCTAGCATTGAGGATTAAACTTGGGGCTCCCAGCATCTTCAGTAAGCACTCTGCCAACTCAGCCCCACCCTGAGCCTGCTGTTAAATAAGGGCGGGGGACCAATTTCAGCCAAGCCCCAGTGTCGACACTACCTTACTCCTCTGAGTATTGTGGTAACATAAAAGAGAAAGAACGAGAAATCAGGCCCTGGATACAGAGTGGAAACCCTGACAGCGAACCATGAGGACTGTCACTGCAGGTCTGCCTACGCTTGCTTTCTGTCTGGGTGGAACAGTCCCCTGGCGACGGCTGGCGACGGCTGGAGACGGCTGGCAACGGCTAGCAACGGTTCTGGGGCTGCTCACCTGCGTGGATGTGTCTCTCTCAGGCTCATCCTTCTTCTCTCTCCTGGTTCCAGTCAGCGAGAGTGTAGGAAGGAAAGCTAGTCTGAGCCTGGCAGCGAAGAGCCTCTGCTGTCCAGCAGGTATAAACTTTGGTTTCGGAACTGGAGCCTGAGACTACATGAGAGACTACATGTGTGGTCTGCACCAGGCCAGCCTTTGGTTCCAGCATGGCCCTCGCCAGACAGGCTCTGCGGAACACAGATTTTAAAAGGCTGGGAGGGGTCAACGAGCTGAGAAGTGACCACGTTCAGGGCAGGCCCAGGTGCCAACAGCCAATGTGACGCCAAACCAAGGAGCACAGGCTTGCGGTCGCTGTGCAGAGCTGCGCTTGCCCCGGGCCCCCCTGGGGAGCTGGCAGGTGAGGCCGTCCACAGATCCCGCTGATAGTTCTACGACAGTCTGTGGGCATCACACCTTCACTGGGATGAAAATGACTGTGGAGATTTCTCCCCAGTGTTGGACATCGAAACCAGGACCACCCACACACTCAGCTAGAATTCTACCCCAGGCCCAGAGGAGGACTTACCAACCAAACAGGAAGTTGTTTTCTGGAATGTTAGGACCAGTTTTCTTCTGGAACAAAATCTTTTTTTTTTTTTTAATAAAGTCTTTTAAAATAATTTTGTTTCTCTGATTTATGAATCTGGTGACATCTGGAGTTTGTGAGTCATTTGTTTTATTCATTAATCTTCTATTTATCTCTGTGGATGGCTCTTATAAATTAGATTTGTTCTGAAATTTATTCTTATATTTAGATTTGACTCATCTATAAAGACATCTTTTTTACAGTTTTTTTTTTGTTGTTGTAATTACGAGTGAAGTTCACACAAAATAGTCATTGCCAAAGTCTTTTTAAGTACGTTCAGGATACCTTAGGTAGTAGATTTATTTTAATTTTGGTTTGGTTCTAGAAGAACTGAAAAGTTGTCATGTTCTCTTGAAGTTGTTTATAACTGGCGTGAAGTGTAGCTTGCACACAAACACTGCTAAGACGTTTGAACAATAGCTTTAGAAATTCTCGAGACATTGATGGTTAAGTTCTTAATTCGGTCTGGAAAACGTGTCCTCTCTTACGTGACGGAAGTGTTGGTTTGCTAAATGGATACAATTGCTACACATCTATACCTCACAGACCACTGCAAAGGTACATATGTGTGCCATAACCACACATATCACATACATGCATACCTCACCCCTACACACACACACACACACACACACACACACACACACACACAAACTGCCTAGGTATATACTTATAACCACACACATACACACCACATGTACAAAGTACAACTCCACACACATACAAACAAACATTGTTCTAACCAAGTACCACACATACACACGGTATACCATATATGTACACATCTGTACGTCCACATCCACAACGCGGATGTACACAATGCCACTTCATGCTCCATATCTCTATCTTCGCATACACTGCAGAGATATACACATAGACACACTGCACATACTGTGGTGCACATACACCCTTAGGAGACATTGCACATAGATCTACACACACCACATA